CAATAATGGTTGCAAAACAGTACATAGTGATAGCCCTTAATTCCTACAAATGATAATGATCCTAATATTGATACATTATGTTCTAATGAACATGATCACAATGCAATAAATGATGAAAGGTGCGTCACTATATTCTACAAATTGTTGGTTGTGATAATGCTATGATTAATTCTAATGAGTCTAATAATGAGCAGAATAGAGTAAAGGCTACTAACATAACATACATTTTCCTGTAATGATAGAAATCATAAGTATGTAGTAGTAGATAGTACAACTACTGCTAACAATTATGCAAATGATATGATTTAATAATGTGATATCTTTTTGTGATAATTAGTAATGGTTGTATAAACCGGTAGATAGTACAATATCAGTATAATAATTCTAAGAAGATAATGATTCTAATAATTGAGAGATCACTTTTGTGCCAATAATAATAACATTAATGCTAATAATTCTAAGAATAACTGTGAGTTTGATAATAATGTGATATTTTCTGTGATGATGAATAATAACTGTCATGAAATACTGATATTGATATTAATGTTATGAACAGTAATAATTTCATAATAATAATCTGACATTTCCCAGTGATAATGACAATTTCAATGTGTCTGAAACGGGTATGTTCTCAAAGATGTCATGATATTTTCTTTAACGATGATTATAATTCTAGTATCTTAAATGATCTCACTAACGCCAAAGCTTCTATAAATTATAATAATAGTGATAACAATATGATTTCCTGTGATGATGAAAATATTAACGACAACATGCTTGTGCACAAACACATTAAGTAATGATAGTTATAATAATATGATTTCCCGTGATGATATTAATGACAATATTGCTTCTGCAAACACATCAAGTACTCGGAATATCTACCTTCAGCATCGGAAATTACAATTGAAAAAGAAATTACGGAACATGAAAGCTTCCGCAATAATGTTTCTGCCAACTAATGATAAAATTCTTCAGAATCACTGATAAATCTTCTTCTATCAATACATTTGGTTGTAGAGAAGACAATTTATATGTTCCATTTTCTCAACCTAAGGGACATCAAAAAAAAATTTTGCTACTATTGCAAAAAGTTTCAGAGTAAAATTGCACGTCATTTAGAAAACGTGCATAAATTGGAACCTGAAGTAAAGAAATTTGTATTATTACCAAAAGGTGATCATATTTTTCAATTCTGTATAATTATAAGTTTATAGTATATTTTTTTATAAATATTGATTATTTGTTAAATATAATATATTAATATGTTATAATTTTTATTAATATATTTACATTATATATACATTATTTACATTATACATACATACTTAATATTCTCATTGCAGGTAATTTAGAAAGAAAACAAATTATAGAGTCTATTAGAAAAAAAAGGAATTTCATACATAATACGGATCCTTTCTTAAATACGGGAGAATTAATTGTTTGTCGAAGGCCTGCCAAAAATAGTTGCAAAACAGTACAAGATTTTATAAGTTGCGCAAAGTGAAAGGATGGTTCACTAAAATAATATCAGGCATCATTTTAAAGAATGTGTAGGAGAATCCAAAGGCAGAAATGTACAAGTTTTAGGACGTGCTGTGATGGGCAGAATTCATGAATGTGCAAGTGAGACAGTAAGAAAAGTTTTATTCCCAGTTTTGAGGGAAGTTGATGTTACACAAAGTATTAAATATGATAAATTAATAATAACATTTGCGAACAAATTATGTATCAAGTACAATCATCAACACCAACAAGATATGATACGTGCTAAACTTCGATTATTAGGAAGGTTTCTTATCGCAATGAAAGAATATAACTCTAACATAACAGAGTTTTCTGATATATATAATCCTTCCATATATGATGATTGTCTGAAAGCAGTAAATAAAGTAGCTCATTTTGATGATATTAATAAAAAATATGGTGCACCATCAGTTGCGTCAAATATTGGGACATATTTAAAACAAATTGGTAATTTGTTAATAACTGAATGCATAAAAGCTAATGATATAGAAAAGCAAAATGCTACAGAAAACTTTTTAAAATTATTACAAGAAGATTATGGTATATCTATAAACAAAACAGTAGAAGAAAATATGACACAAAATAAAAGACAGAAAAAAGTTATGCTTCCATCTATGGAAGATATAAAAAAATTACACTCATATCTAAATAACGAAAGAAAATCATTGTATGCAAAACTTCAGAAGAAATTTAAATACGAAACATTGCTAAAACTTGCAAAAGTTACACTTACATCAATGCAAGTTTTTAATAGAGAAGAGCAGAGCAGGAGAAATAGAACGGGTTACTATTGACGATTTTATTACTCGCGAAGGTATAACGAAAGAAACTCATTTAGATTTAGATTATACAAATCATTAGGCACAAAATTACAGCAGGTAAAAAATTATTATTACTATTATTTTTATAAATATTATGTATAAATATTATTTATTTACAAGTATTATAATTAAATTACGCACAATATGGTATATGATGCAAAATAATAATCTACATATAACTTTTGTATATAGGTTGCTGATAAATACGTAAGATTCTTAATTCGTGGAAAATTGGGACGTACAGTGCCTGTGATTTTAGACATGGAATTAGTACAATGTGTTGAACTAATTTTGAACCAGCGAAAGGATGCAAATGTTCCTGAAAAAAATCCGTATGTGTTTGGCATACCTAGTAGTACCAAACGCCATTTCAAATATTTAAGAGCGTGTATCCTTATGCGATATTTTTCTAAAAAATGTGATGCACAAATACCACATTCTTTAAGAGGTACTGAATTACGTAAACATATTGCTACAACATGCATTACGTTAAATTATCTGACAATGAAGTGGATGATTTGGCGAACTTTATGGGACATCACGAGAAAATTCATAAACGCCATTATCGACAGTCAATAGCAGCTGTAGAGATAGTTCGTATGACGAAATTTCTTGAAGCAGCATTAGGTGAAAATGAGCAACAGCAATCTAATAATAGTGATTCAGGTATATACACTATTTATTATTATATATATGCCACAAGTACTTTTTATATATTAATTTTTGTATAAAATATAATATATTAATTATTGTATTCCTTTTTAACTTTTCTGCATTCTTAATATATCTATTTAATTAGAAGAAAAAATCAGACAAAAGTCCGTATAAACCAAAACTTATGAAATTAAGCTAATGTGTGCCACGATCATGGATGTCTGTGTAGAAATAAAAGTAGTAATAATGAATGCAACTGTTCACGAACGCGATGCGAGAGAAAGGATCGCGCGGCACCAAAGGATGAGTCACTTTTATATTTGAAAAAAAGACTTTAATATTATCCACAATTAAAAAAACAACACTTTAACAAACTTTTCACAATAGTAATTATTTACAGAAAAATCGGAATCAAATCAGAGTGCGGAGTAAGCGGCGGTCGTCAACGTGGTTTTGCGGTTTATCTAATAAGCGGTTTGTGATATGTGTTTCACGGCGGAAAGGCGATAAGATGAAAAGTTTCGTCGACGCCCCTTTTATCAATGCGGTGCTAGGGCCCGTCACGTCATCACGCACCAATTGATTTCGATCACTTCAAAAGTGGTGATGTGACGCAAGGGCGCCGAACGTTATTGGCTGCCCGGTTCTCGCGCGGAGTAGGCACGGGCCTGACATGCGCGAGCGGATCGATTATTTTATTGATTGGCCTTCCAGAGCCACGTGATCGCTTTGCGCATGTGTTTTGCGACATCGGCAGTTATATCTCCGTGCGGTACCCGTTGCGGGATTGTTATTTATTATGACATTTTAATTGCCCTAATGATTTATGTACGTAGATATTTTGATCTGGGTGAATTTTTTTTCTATTGTTTATTTTACCGCGACGCATGATAATAACAACTGAAATAGATTAGAATGGATAGGCTTACTTACTTGAAATTGCATGAAATAACTCGGATTTATTTGCAATCTCAAACATCCCGCCCGCCTTGTTACGTTGTGACGAACACATTCGTTGATGATTGCTGGCCGCGGGCCGCGCTTTATTGGTCGGTGATTGTGGCGGTGCGGCTGCGCGTCACGACGCACGTGGTGATCGCGTGTCGCGCTAGACTCGATCAGCTGTGAAATATCCGCCACGTGTTTGGTGAATACCGCGAGTGAGAGTGGTTGCGTAAGACAATGATGCATTATGATGGCATAATTAATGCTCCGTTAGGTGTACAAATGGCGTGTAGTGTTTGAATCGTGTGTGTGAATTGTGTATTGTGTAAAGTGTGAAAGATGTGACCGGAAGTGTGTATAATTGTGTGTATCGTGTGTGGTGTGCGTCGCGTATCTTTCACGCATCGGTAATCGTCGTGTCTGCTTCAACACCGGGAAGCAGGACGATCTTGACGAGCGGACGCATGAGCTCGGAAGACGCGGTCTTGATGGTGACCACGCGCACCACGCCGTCGTCTCCGTGATGCAGCTTCGTGATCCGGGCAAGCGGCCATCGACTTGGAGGAGAGATCTCGGAGCGCACCAGGCAGAGAGCTCCGATGTGGGGTGCCGTCTCATTCTTCAGCCACTTTGAACGAGAGGTGAGTCCGTGGATGTACTCCTTCGACCACCTCCCCCAGAAGTGATCTCTCATTTGTTGTAGATGTTGCCATCGTGATCTCGAGGAACCAGGTTCGTCTTCCTGCAGCGGCTCAGGGATGGCGAGAAGAGGTGCCCCGATCAGGAAGTGTCCGGGAGTGAGCGCTGAAACATCGTCTGGATCGTCGGAGAGTGCCTGCAACGGTCGAGAATTGAGACATGCTTCAATTTGAGTGAGGAGTGTATTTAATTCCTCGAAGGTGAGGGTGGTTTCGCCTATCACCCTCCGCAGGTGATACTTGGCAGATTTTACAGCGGCCTCCCATAATCCACCGAAGTGCGGGGCGCCGGCGGGATTGAAGTGCCAGCGGATACCCTCCTTGGCAGCTGCGCGTGCGACGCCTCGACCCTCCGGAGATGCCGCAATGAAGAGCTCTCGTAGGGTGCGGTCAGCTCCAACGAAGGTCGTGCCGCAGTCGCTGAAGATGTCGGTGCAGAGACCCCGTCGGGAGACAAATCGGCGAAGAGCGGCGATGAAGGCTTCCGACGAGTAATCTGAGACGAGCTCTAGATGGATGGCCTTCGACCAGAAGCAGATGAAGACCGCAATATAGCCCTTGTAGGCCCGGTGACCGCGGCCCTTGCTGGTCCGGATGAGGATTGGCCCCGCGTAGTCCAGTCCAGTGCGGAGGAATGGCCGTGTTGGAGTGACCCGGCTGTGGGGCAGATTGCCCATAGGTGGTTGTGGTGTTGTCGCTCGCCACCTTGTGCAGGTGACACAGCGATGTAATCGCTGCTTCACCGCTGAACGTCCTCGAAGCACCCAGAACCGCTGTCGAAGCAATCCCAGAGTCAGTTGCACTCCTCCGTGCAAGGTCCGGCGATGACAAGAATCGATCAGCAGTCGAGTCAGCCATGAGGTTGCTGGGACGATCATTGGGTGTCTCTCGTCCTGTGGCAAGAGTGAATTCTTCAGACGTCCTCCCACTCTTAACACGCCTTGTGCATCAATGTATGGAGTCAATTTGGCCAACGGACTGCGTGTTGCAACAGTGCGACCTGCGGAGATGGCGGTGACCTCGTCAGGGAAGTGAAGTGCTTGTACTCCTCGTAACCAGTGCGACAGAGCTACTTCCAACTCGTCCGAGGTCAGTGGCCGTCCAGGTGTGTTAGTTGGTTCTGCCGTGCGAAGCCAGCGACGACACCATGCTGTGACTCGTAACAAGCGGTGCAACGACGAGAAGCGAAGAAGGAGCTCAGGTTCCATGACGACCAGGCTCTTGGTCAGTAGGCTAACGGCTCGTCTCTCAGAAAGGTCGTCCTCCTGGGTGTTCACCTCGGCGATTGGCCATGCAGTCTTCTTCCTCCAGCAACCAGGTAGGTCCCGTCCACCATAATGTGTGATTTGTAAGTTCCGACGGAGTAACGCCCCTTGATGCACAATCCGCAGGGTTGTCTTGACCCGCCACGTGTCTCCAGAGTGCATTTGGCAACAGGGTTTGGATGTGGGACACCCGATTGGCAACGAAGGTCTTCCACCGCAAGGCGTGTCCTTGGATCCACTGAAGCGTGACCTTCGAGTCAGACCACAGATGAGTTGGTGTGTCTGTCAAGTCGAGCGTGATTTGAACATGCTGTGTCAACGTGGTGAGTAAGGCGGCGGCGCAAAGCTCGAGTCTTGGCAGGTCACTTGCTTGACAGGTGCCACCTTGCTCTTGGCCATTAGCAGCTTCACTGACGTTCCCTCTTTTTCAGCGATGCGGAGGTATACGGCTGCGGCGTACCCTCGTTCGGATGCATCGGCGAAACCATGGAGTTGCAGCGATGAGTCTCCACGTCCAGTGCCTAGCCAGCGAGGTATTCTCAGGCGGTCGAGGAGATAGAGGTCACCCAACAGTTGCTGCCAACGATGAGCGTCGGCTGTCGGCAGTGGGGCATCCCAATCCAATCCCTGAAGCCACGTAGTCTGGATGAGGATCTTCGCGCGGATGACGACTGGAGCGAGCCAACCCATTGGATCGAAGAGACGTGCGGTTTCAGAGAGGACATGTCTCTTCGTGTATTCCTTTATAGACGGTGGACGCAGCACGAAGGAGAACTGATCGTCTTGAGGATGCCATCAAGTCCTAGCGTTGAGTGGCTCTCCCCATTCCATGAGTGCTGCGATTGTTGCATGCGATGATCCTGCGGGACGCCTGTCAGTATCTCCTCATTGTTGGCTGCCCACTTTTTCAACGGAAATCCACCCGCCTTACAGAGGTTGCGTAGTTCCGTCTGGAGGACGATTGCTCCCTCGAGGGTGGTTGCTCCGGTGACGACGTCATCGACGTAGCAATCCCGTCGCAAGGCCACAGCGCCTCGAGGAAAATGCTCCTCTTCATCCTCAGCTAGTTGGTGAAGAGTCCGTATGGCGAGGAATGGAGCGCAACCGAGACCGTAAGTGACCGTTCTCAACTGGTATTCCTGCACTTCATCGTCCGGAGAATGCCGCCACAGGATCGTCTGGAAGCGACAATCGTCTGGATGCACGAGAATCTGCCGGTACATCTTTTCTATGTCGGCGACGAGGACGTAGCGGTGTTGACGCCATCGGAGCAGCACGTCGGCGAGTGTCGGAAGCAGGTTTGCACCAGTGAGGAGATGCGTGTTCAGCGCTTCCCCTGCTCGCGTTTGCTGCGATCCGTTGAAGACGACCCTCAACTTGGTGGTGGTGCTGGATTCCTTGAAGACCCCATGATGTGGTAAGTAACACTTGTCTTGACGATCAATTACCGCAGTGTTTAGCATCGTCATGTGTCGCAGGTCTTCGTATTCCCGCATGAAGCTGCGGTAGAGGTCACCGAAGCGAGGATCCTGGACGCAGCGTCGCTCCATGGCTGTCAGGAGACGTTCCGCTGGTCTGCGAGTCTCCTCCAGTGCTGTTGGCGGTGAGGAAAATGGCAACCTCACCACATATCTCCCAGCGGCAGTGCGGGTGTGACTGCGCACAAAGAGCTCCTCACATCTTTGTTCGTCGGGAGTGAGGGATGCGACAGCGGTGGGCTCCTGTTCCTGTTCCCAGAATCGACGCACCAGATCAGCGAGGTCATAATCAGCGGTGCAGCGGAACGTGCGGCGGTGATCCTCGGTTGCTGTTGCATCTGACCCCCCGGAGAGAATCCAACCAAGCATGGTCTTCTGGGCGATCGGCATCTCTGGACCGCCCTTGCGTACGCCCTCCTCGATAATAAACGAGCAGACCTCCGCTCCCAGGAGTAACTCCGCGGGGTCGTCGTCCTGGAAGGTTGGGTCGGCCAGCTGGAGGCCTTGAATGTGAGGCCAACGTTGGTTGGTCCTTGATGCGGGACCTTGCGTCAGCAGGAGGCGCGGCAGAACGTATGCCACCACGGAGAGCTTGGCGTTGGTCACGTCTGAAGATATATTCAGCGTGACCTTGCCGCGGGTTGGCCCTGGACGGGCTCCTCCAACCCCGAAGATGGACAGTCCTGTGTGAACTCGAGGTAGTCGTAATCGTTGAGCCACCGTTTCGGAGATGATGGACAGCTCAGAACCCTGATCGAGTAGAGCTCGCACTGCGTGAGGAGATCCATACCTGTCAGCTATGTTGACGCGTGCCGTTGCTAGGAGGATGGCCTTTCGATCCTCGCTCTGATGGGTAGTGGCTAGTGTCGTGGCAAGTGAGGAAGCTGATGCGGCGGCAGACCTGTTGACCTCGGAGGCCGGAGACGCGGTGTGTGCCTCGTGCAACATTGTGTGGTGACGTGCGTTGCAAGTGAAGCAGTTTTTCTTCGATTGACATCGTGAGAGAAAGTGGTTCCCCAGGCAATTGTAACATAGCTTGTTCGTCTCCACGAATGTCTTTCGTTCCGCAGAGGACTTGGCCTTGAACTCACGGCAGGCCATGAGCGTGTGTTTCTCCCGGCACAGTGCACATTGTGGAGATGCCGGTCCGTGCTTGGTGACGTGAGATTTGGCCGCTCGTGCTTCGCCTGAGTGTTTGTTGATCGCTTTCGGTCGTACAGCGTTGAGTGTCAGGATCCGTCGGCTAATGAAATCGAGAAGTGTTTCGAGCGATGGTGGTTCGGCGGATCCTGATGTGGATGACTCCCATTCGAGGCGAGTGGTTGCGTCGAAGAGCTCCGTGACGAGGTAATTGAAGAGGTCCATCCCGTGCGTGTCGATCGGACGACCGATGCTCTCCTGCGCGTTGACGACGGTGGTGGCGGCGTTATGGATGCGACTCAACTCATCGGCGGTATCTCCCTTCATCTTTGACACGTTGACGAATGTGGCAAAGTTGGAGCGGATAAGTTCTCTCTTGTTCTCATAATGTTTGCTCAAGATTGCCCAAGCGCGATCGTAATTGTCGCCGGTGACAGGTAATGATCGTATTAATTTTTCAGCTTGTCCGGTCACGCTCGAACGAAGATGGTGAAGACGCTCGATGTTTGAGATCGACGTGTTGTCTCCGATGACGGAGAGGAAAAGGTCTCGGAAGGATGGCCAATCTGCGTAGTTGCCAGAGAACAGCGGCACCTTGATACGCGGCAACGAGGACCTTGAAGCGCCCTCGGTATTCCGGCGAACGGGCGACGGAGGAGACTCCTGGAATTGCTCGGCGTAGCCATCCAGCAAGCTCCGTTGTGCCACATAGAGGTTTTCGGTATCCTCATGCAATCCTGATTTGACATAATCGCTTTCATTGAATTTATCTTTCAGACCTGAGCGGATGAGATCATGCTGCGTCTCAAATTTCGACCACAACTGGTCAATGATCCTGGTGCGAGTGGTGACGGCGCTGGCGGTGATGTTGGCGTTCCCCAGCTTTCTGAGATACTCTACTGAGCGTGCGATGCGAACTTGGACTTCACGCTGACAGTCAATCAGCGTGAGCAGATCCATCTTCGATAGTTTGCTGGATGCTGGCGGACACTCACTTCACGCACCGATGGAACTCACGTTCGCGAACTTGCGGGTGCCGGCTCAACGAGAGCTCCGGCTCGAAGGACCAAAAATATATGTTCACGAACGCGATGCGAGAGAAAGGATCGCGCGGCACCAAAGGATGAGTCACTTTTATATTTGAAAAAAAGACTTTAATATTATCCACAATTAAAAAAACAACACTTTAACAAACTTTTCACAATAGTAATTATTTACAGAAAAATCGGAATCAAATCAGAGTGCGAAGTAAGCGGCGGTCGTCAACGTGGTTTTGCGGTTTATCTAATAAGCGGTTTGTGATATGTGTTTCACGGCGGAAAGGCGATAAGATGAAAAGTTTCGTCGACGCCCCTTTTATCAACGCGGTGCTAGGGCCCGTCACGTCATCACGCACCAATTGATTTCGATCACTTCAAAAGTGGTGATGTGACGCAAGGGCGCCGAACGTTATTGGCTGCCCGGTTCTCGCGCGGAGTAGGCACGGGCCTGACATGCGCGAGCGGATCGATTATTTTATTGATTGGCCTTCCAGAGCCACGTGATCGCTTTGCGCATGTGTTTTGCGACATCGGCAGTTATATCTCCGTGCGGTACCCGTTGCGGGATTGTTATTTATTATGACATTTTAATTGCCCTAATGATTTATGTACGTAGATATTTTGATCTGGGTGAATTTTTTTTCTATTGTTTATTTTACCGCGACGCATGATAATAACAACTGAAATAGATTAGAATGGATAGGCTTACTTACTTGAAATTGCATGAAATAACTCGGATTTATTTGCAATCTCAAACAGCAACAATGAAACGTTACGTTTGGAACCTATTAAATCAAAGTATGAATATGATATATTCATTAAAATGGATTCAAATTGAGAATACGTTTCATTATTGTGTTCATTCTCCTTTACTCAATTTTTATGCATCGACGTCCGCGGTTGTAGCATATATTAACCCTTAGTTTCAAGAATTGGTTTACACATATATATACATATATAATAATTATCATAATATTGTATTATTATTAACAGAAGAGGAAGAGATGCAAGAAACAAACAAAGATACTTCGAGTGCAGAATCGGAAAACGATGCCGAAACATGTATGATAAGTTCACGTAAGCCTTCTTTATTACGAACAGAAAGGAAATTACCGAAATTTCTTAGCGTAACAGATGGACAACAAAAATCTGTAAAAAAGAAAATCGTGCATCAAAACCATACAATAGTAAATAATGACAATGATTCTGACGAAACTTATTCCCCAAAGATAAAGAAACGTCGCAGTAGTAAGTTTATTTTCTCATTTTTACATATTGTATTCAGTTTTTATAAATTTATCAAGTCAGAGTGGATTTTCTTTTAAATATTATTTAGTATTATATTTTCATGTGACTATGTCAAAGTATATTAGTATATTAAGCTTTTATTTAAAATGCATTTTTTGATAGAATTTTAATGTACATAATAACAATATTTAATTAAAAAATAATAATGATAAATGATAAAGGTTCCACACACATTAGCTTAATTTAATTATATATTTATTTATATTATTTGTATTTTATATATTATTTTATATTATTTTATATTATTTTATTTTTGTATTCCTATTTCTTTTTATTCTTATACTTATGACGTTATAATTTTAATATTTTTTTATTAATGAAAGTTTGTCAGTACTCTGAGAAAAATTTTAAAGTAATTTTATTCTATTAGTAATATAAATAAAAATACATTAAAATAAAATTTAAGTAAATTATTGCTTTTTATATAGAAATATTTATTCATAGATAATTAATTTATTTTGTAGCATCTCCATTTGGTATAACAAAACGAAGACGTTGGACGGAAGAAGAACGTAATACAATATTGAAAGAATTTCAAAAAGAAATTACCACTTCACAGCTGCCATCTAACAAAAAAATTTCCTGTGTAAAAGAAAAAAATAAGTGCTTATTTAATCGATCCGTTGCTCAAATTAAAACGTGGATCCATAACTATATATCTGGCAAAATTAAGCGTCATTAAATGAATAAAATTTTTTCAGAAAATATTTATTTAGTCAAATCGGAAATATTTTAATTTTTTATTCAAAAATAATACGTAGATTACTTGTATTTAAGAAATTGCAAAAAATAAGTAGAATACCTAATTTTTATTATTTCAACACATAAAACTTAAAGTTAAATTACGTTGTGAGAATTTTATAAAAAAAGAAGTTAGAGAAGTTGCACTGCGCAAAGTCATTTATTTTGATTTCTTCATATATATATATTATATGTAGAGTAGCAGTACTGTGTAGTTATTACAATTCTTTTATTGATAATATATATTCATGATTACAAGTGCAATATGTGAAATTAATTATATGACGCATTAAGCTAAAAGTTAAGTTACATTGCGAGAATTTTATAAAAAAGAAAGTTAGAGAAGTTGCACTGCGCAAAGTCATTTATTTTGATTTCTTCATATATTTATATTATATGTAGAGTAGCAGTACTGTGTAGTTATTACAATTTTTTATTGATAATATATATTCATGATTACAAGTGCAATATGTGAAATTAATTATATGACACATTAAGCTAAAAGTTAAGTTACGTTGTGAGAATTTTATAAAAAAGAAGTTAGAGAAGTTGCACTGCGCAAAGTCATTTATTTTGATTTCTTTATATATTTATATTATATGTAGAGTAGCAGTACTGTGTAAATATTACAATTCTTTTATTGATAATATATATTCATGATTACAAGTGCAATATGTGAAATTAATTATATGACACATTAAGCTAAAAGTTAAGTTACATTGCGAGAATTTTATAAAAAAGAAAGTTAGAGAAGTTGCACTGCGCAAAGTCATTTATTTTGATTTCTTCATATATTTATATTGTATGTAGAGTAGCAGTACTGTGTAGTTATTACAATTCTTTTATTGATAATATATATTCATAATTACAAGTGCAATATGTGAAATTAATTATATGACACATTAAGCTAAAAGTTAAGTTACATTGCGAGAATTTTATAAAAAAGAAAGTTAGAAAAGCTGCACTGCGCAAGCTATTTATTTTGATTTTTTCACATATTTATATTATATGTAGAGTAGCAGTACTGTGTAGTTATTTATTACAATTTTTATTGATAATATGTATTCATGATTACAAGTGCAATTTGTGAAATTAATTATATAACACATTAAGCTAAAAGTTAAGTTACATTGCGAGAATTTTATAAAAAAGAAAGCAAAAGCTACACAAGTTTTTTATTTTGATTTCTTCATATATTTATATTATATGTATAGAAGCAATACTTGTAAAGTTATTTATTTTAATTCTTTTATTGATAATATGTATTCATGATTACAAGTGCAACATACTATTATACATATATGTATTAGGTTTGTGTTTTTATATATATAATATACATGTATATGCTCATATGTTCATTGTTCAATTATTATTTTACTAAATATATTTCAAATTGCTTTAAACAAATATAAAAGAATACTTTTTTGTGACTATACATAGAAATATATTTTTACAATTCCTATTATCTACATATTTAATGTTTTATCCTTCTACTTTTTACATAACATTTATATTCATCAAATTGTAAAAAAAAAATAAATCAGTAAAATTAATTTTGATACTAATTATTTAAATAATTGTCCTAAAACAGACAATTATATGCTTTTTCTGATTAACTTTTAAAACAATATTTTATACAATTGCAACTTCTGTAACATTATTATTTTCCATTGATCTAATAATATATATAAAACTGAGTCTGTTGCATTGAAATTTTCGTAATTTTTCAAGATTAATTTCTTGGAATATTACAAAAAGAGGGCCCTCCCGTTTCCTTAAGAGCTCCACAATATTTTTGTATCTCAAAATGTCTCAAATGTTTACTTATTCCTGTCTTTTTAATTAAAAAAGATATTAAGATTAATTCTATATAGCAATGACAGATAGTTTGTAAGTAAAATATAGTGATTTTAATTAATTTATATAATTTTTTTATATATAAAGGGATTACATATATTATACTTGACAACTAGTAATATATCTTGTGAATACACATTTTATAAATAACACAAGCGCAGAGAAGTAAATTGCATTAGATGTATCGTTTTCATCTAATATCTCTTCTATCAGAAATCTTTATCGTAACTACGATTTTATCTTAAATATCATAATTATATTTTCTCTCTCTCTCTCTCTCTTTCTTTTTATCTTATTTTGAAACTTTATAATTAAGGTTGCTCCCAGAGACACTCATCCACCGATAACAATCAAAAATAAAAATTGAACAATTTGCTCAAATAAGAAATGTGCATCTTTTATATATATAGCATAAAGAATTTAACTTTATATATATTTGTTATCCTACGTGAAAAAGAATATTATTACACTTTATACAAAGTAACCTATTTTAATTTATAAATCAATATATCTTGCAAATCATTTTGAATGAAAAAATTGAACACATATAGCTGTATTCACCCATGTGTTTAATTTTTTAACTCAAAGTCATTTCCGAGCTATTTAATTTACAAATTAAAATGAGTCACCCTATGTAACATTATATTATGTATTATGTATGTTTTATGTATATTTTATTACAGAAAAAAATAACGGTCTTTAATATTGCAACTGATTTATTTGAGAATATATTAAATAAGAAATATATACACACTCACATGTGTCAACCGATTATATACGAAATATTAACGGTTTCATATTATTGATGCTAGAATATTGAGAAACCATTTGTACTGCTACTGCAGTAAATATGTCAGGAAAAACAGTGCTTTACCATGTCAAACCTAAATGCAGCATATTGTATTATATGTATGCAGTATATTATACATATCATAAGTAAATATACATTTCTGTAGTATTTTATTTCTTAAGGAATTTTTCTTCATGTAGTTGTTATATATTTGTTACATATCTCTATAATAGCCAATTGCGTAACTTGAGCTTATTGCGGAACTTGAGTCTATTTGGCTAGAGATTATAAAGTTAGTGAAAATGAAAGTTGTAAGATTGCCAAACATTAATTTCGATCATTTAATTGTCTTAGTATTATTCTTTTAGGACATTAACTATGATTTATCAAAAGACTTCAAAACTGCTACATTATCATACAATGGCAGTTTTGGGGACAATTCTACGAATGATAATGATCCCAATATTGATATATCACTTTTGTGCAATAATAATAACATTAATGCTAATAATTCTAAGAATAACTATGAGTTTGATAATAATGTGATACTTTCTTGTGATGATGATAATAACTGTCATGTAAATACTGATATTGATATTAATTTTATGAACAGTAATAATTCTCTCATAATAATAATCTGACATTTTCCTGTGATAATGACAATTTCAATGTGTCTGAAACGGGTATTCTTCTCAAAGATGTCATGATACTTCCTTTTAACGATGATAATAATTCTAATATCTTAAATGATCTCACTAACGCCAAAACTTCTATAAATTATAATGATAGTGATAATAATATGATTTCCTGTGATGATAAAAATATTAATGACATTGCTTGTGCAAACACATCAAGTAATGATAGTGATAATAATATAATTTCCTGTGATGATAAAAATATTAATGACAACATTGCTTGTGCAAACACATTAAGTAATGATAGTGATAATAATATGATTTCCCGTGATGATATTAATGACAATATTGCTTCTGCAAACACATCAAGTACTTTAGAATATCTACCTTCAGCATCGGAAATTACAATTGACAAAGAAACTACGGAACATGAAAGCTTCCGCAATAACGTATCTCCAACTAATAATAAAAATTCTTCAGAATCTCTGATAGATCTTTCTTCTATCAATACATTTGGTTGTAGAGAAGACAATTTATATGTTCATTTTCTCAACCTAAGGGACATCAAAAAAAAATTTTTGCTACTATTGCAAAAAGTTTTAGAGTAAAATTGCACGTCATTTAGAAAACGTGCATAAATTGGAACCTGAAGTAAAGAAATTTGTATTATTACCAAAAGGTGATCATATTTTTCAATTCTGTATAATTATTTAAGTTTATAGTATATTTTTTTATAAATATTGATTATTTTTTAAATATAATATTAATATGTTATAATTTTTATTAATACATTTACATTATATACATACATTATTTAATATTCTCATTGCAGGTAATTTAGAAAGAAAACAAATTATAGAGTCTATTAGAAAGAAAGGGAATTTCATACACAATACGGATCCTTCCTTAAATACGGGAGAATTAATTGTTTGTCGAAGGCCTGCCAAAAATAGTTGCAAAAAATGTTTTCATTGCAATAATATTGTTAATATTGAGCACAACAGCACGTAACCTTTTTATTTGATTTTTAACAGGTTAATATTAACTTGAGTCGTAAAAATCTGAAGTTTTTACTCAGCACTGCTTTTTAATTTTCTTTTCAGTTAAATTCTTACATCAGCGCGTTAATTTCTGATTATTTATATCCAAATAATTGAAATTACTATATTTATTGTTACAGAAAATAAAAATGATTGTCTGGCAATTGCTAAAAATTATTAGAAAAGTTAAGCTAAAAGTAAGCTAAAAGTCTTTCCATCTATGGAAGACATAAAAAAATTACACTCATATCTAAATAACGAAAGAAAATTATTGTATGCAAAACTTCAGAAGAAATTTAAATACGAAACATGGCTAGAACTTGCAACAGTTATATCAATGCAAGTTTTTAATAGAAGAGCAGGAAAAATAGAACGGGTTACTATTGAAGATTTTAATACTCGCGAAGGTATAACGAAAAAGACCCATTTAAATTTATATAAATCATTAGGCACAAAATTACAGCAGCTAAAAATTATTATTACTATTATTTATTTATAAATTTATTTGTGCGTGTAATTAAATTATATATATGGTATATACATGCAAAATAATTACCCACATATAACTTTTGTATAGTTGCTGATAAATACGTAAGATTCTTAATTCGTAGGAAATTGGGACGTACAGTGCCTGTGATTTTAGACATGGAATTAGTTCAATGTATTGAACTTATATTGAACTAGCGAAAGATGCAAATGTTTTGAAAAAAATCCGTATCTGTTTGGCATACCTAGTAGTACCAAACGCCATTTCAAATATTTAAGAGCGTGTATCCTTATGCGATATTTTCTAAAAAATGTGATGCACAAATACTACATTCTTTAAGAGGTACTGAATTACGTAAACATATTGCTACCACATGCATTACGTTAAATTTATCTGACAATGAAGTGGATGATTTGGCGAACTTTATGGTTATATCATATTCATACTTTGATTTAATAATTTCCAAACGTAACGTTTCATTGTTGCATTAGCCTTAATTTCATAAGTTTTGGTTTATAAGGACTTTCTTCTTCTAATTAAATAGATATATTAAAAATGCACAAAAGTTGAAAAAAGGCATACAATAATTAATATATTTTATACAAAAATTAATATATAAAAAGAACTTGTGGCATATATATAATAAGATAAATAGTGTATATACCTGAATTACTATTATTAGATTATGGGACATCACGAGAAAATTCATAAACGCCATTATCGGCAGTCAATAGCAACTATAGAGATAGTTCGTATGACAAAATTTCTTGAAGCAGCATTAGATGAAAATGAGCAACAGCAATCTAATAATAGTGATTCAGGTATATACACTATTTATCTTATTATATATATGCCACAAGTTCTATTTATATATTAATTTTTGTATAAAATATATTAATTATTGTATGCCTTTTTTCAACTTTTCTGCATTTTTAATATATCTATTTAATTAGAAGAAAAAATCAGACAAAAGTCCTTATTAACCAAAATTTATGATATTAAGGCTAAAGCAACAATGAAACGTTACGTTTGGAACCTATTAAATCAAAGTATGAATATGATATATTCATTGAAATGGATTTAAATTGAGAATACGTTTCATTATTGTGTTCATTCTGCTTTACTCAATTTTTATGCATCGACGTCCGCGGTTGTAGCATATATTAGCCCTTAGTTTCAAGAATTGGTTACATATATATATACATATATAATAATTATCATAATATTGTGTTATTATTAACAGAAGAGGAAGAGATGCAAGAAACAAACAAAGATACTTCGAGTGCAGAATCGGAAAACGATGCCGAAACATGTATGATAAGTTCACTTAAGCCTTCTTTATTACGAACAGAAAGGAAATTACCGAAATTTCTTAGCGTAACAGATGAACAACAAAAATCTGTAAAAAAGAAAATCGTGCATCAAAACCATACTATAGTGAATAATGACAATGATTCTGACGAAACTTATTCCCCAAAGATAAAGAAACGTGGCAGTAGTAAGTTTATTTTCTCATTTTCACATATTGTATTCAGTTTTATAAACTTATCAAGTCAGAGTGGATTTTCTTTTAAATATTATTTAGTATTATATTTTCATGTGACTATGTCAAAGTATATTAATATATTAAGCTTTTATTTATAATGCATTTTTTGATAGAATTTTAATGTACATAATAACAATATTTAATTAAAAAATAATAATGATAAATGATAAAGGTTCCACACACATTAGCTTAATTAAGTTATATATTTATTTATATTATTTGTATTTTTTATATTATTTTATATTATTTTATATTATTTTATATTATTTTATTTTGCATTTCTATTTCTTTTTATTCTTATAATTATGACGTTATAATTTTAATATTTTCTTATTAATGAAAGTTTGTCAGTACACTGAAGAGAATTTTAAAGTAATTTTATTCTACTAGTAATTTAAATAAAAATACATTTAAATAAAATTTAGGTAAATTATTGCTTTTTATATAGAAATATTTATTCTGATTCATAGATAATTAATTTATTTTGTAGCATCTCCATTTGGTATAACAAAACGAAGACGTTGGACGGAAGAAGAACGTAATACAATATTGAAAGAATTTCAAAAAGAAATTACCACTTCACAGCTGCCATCTAACAAAAAATTTCCTGTATAAAAGAAAAAAATAAGTGCTTATTTAATCGATCCGTTGCTCAAATTAAAACGTGGATCCATAACTATATATCTGGCAAATTTAAGCGTCACTAAATGAATAAATATTTTTCAGAAAATATTTATTTAGTCAAATCGGAAATATTTTAATTTTTTATTCAAAAATAATACGTAGATTACTTGTATTTAAGCAAATGCAAAAAATAAGTAGAATACCTAATTTTTATTATTTCAACACATAAAACTTAAAGTTAAGTTATGTATATGTAGAGTAGCAGTACTGTGTAGTTATATATTATAATTTTTATTGATAATATGTATTCATGATTACAAGTGCAATATGTGAAATTAATTATATAACACGTTAAGCTAAAAGTTAAGTTACATTGCGAGAATTTTATAAAAAAGAAAGCAAAAGCTACACAAGTTTTTTATTTTGATTTCTTCATATATTTATATTATATGTATAGAAGCAATACTTGTAAAGTTATTTATTTTATAAGAGTTTTAACAAGGCTCTGTAATATAAATATAAATTTAACGTATAAGACGGGCAACAAGAGCCAAATCGCGGATGACAATGCGTTATCCTAACGAAACTAAATAATTTTTCGTTAGAATTAAATACCGGTGCACAAGGCACCAAATTTTTACTTGGACACGGCCAAGATTTTAAATATGAAATAATCTCATATTTTGAGATTAATTTCAATACCCCTTTTAACCCCCCTACGGAAAATAAATAAATGAATGCAAGAGAAAAATATAGATCCGAAAATCGCTGAATCGGGAATCGAACCCGAGACCTTTCGCTTGCCGGGCGACTGCTCTTCCAGCTGAGCTATTCAGATCCTTTCGATTCTATACTTTTCTCTGTTATATATATTAATGTTGGTAAACAAACGCATTTTTTAAGCCAGCGTGTATCAAATATAAGAGTTTTTAACAAGGCTCTGTAATATAAATATAAATTTAACGTATAAGACGGGCAACAAGAGCCAAATCGCGGATGACAATGCGTTATCCTAACGAAACTAAATAATTTTCGTTAGAATTAAATACCGGTGCACAAGGCACCAAATTTTACTTGGACACGGCCAAGATTTTAAATATGAAATAATCTCATATTTTGAGATTTAATTTCAATACCCCTTTTAACCCCCCTACGTTAAATTTATATTTATATTACAGAGCCTTGTTAAAAACTCTTATATTTGATACACGCTGGCTTAAAAAATGCGTTTGTTTACCAACATTAATATATATAACAGAGAAAAGTATAGAATCGAAAGGACCTGAATAGCTCAGCTGGAAGAGCAGTCGCCCGGCAAGCGAAAGGTCTCGGGTTCGATTCCCGATTCAGCGATTTTCGGATCTATATTTTTCTCTTGCATTCATTTATTTATTTTCCGTAGGGGGGTTAAAAGGGGTATTGAAATTAAATCTCAAAATATGAGATTATTTCATATTTAAAATCTTGGCCGTGTCCAAGTAAAATTTGGTGCCTTGTGCACCGGTATTTAATTCTAACGAAAAATTATTTAGTTTCGTTAGGATAACGCATTGTCATCCGCGATTTGGCTCTTGTTGCCCGTCTTATACGTTAAATTTATATTTATATTACAGAGCCTTGTTAAAAACTCTTATATTTGATACACGCTGGCTTAAAAAATGCGTTTGTTTACCAACATTAATATATATAACAGAGAAAAGTATAGAATCGAAAGGATCTGAATAGCTCAGCTGGAAGAGCAGTCGCCCGGCAAGCGAAAGGTCTCGGGTTCGATTCCCGATTCAGCGATTTTCGGATCTATATTTTTCTCTTGCATTCATTTATTTATTTTCCGTAGGGGGGTTAAAAGGGGTATTGAAATTAAATCTCAAAATATGAGATTATTTCATATTTAAAATCTTGGCCGTGTCCAAGTAAAAATTTGGTGCCTTGTGCACCGGTATTTAATTCTAACGAAAAATTATTTAGTTTCGTTAGGATAACGCATTGTCATCCGCGATTTGGCTCTTGTTGCCCGTCTTATACGTTAAATTTATATTTATATTACAGAGCCTTGTTAAAAACTCTTATATTATTTATTTTAATTCTTTTATTGATAATATGTATTCATGATTACAAGTGCAACATACTATTATACATATATGTATTATGTTTGTGTTTTTATATATATAATATACATGTATATGCTCATACGTTCATTGTTCAATTATTATTTTACTAAATATATTTCAAATTGCTTTAAACAAATATATAAAAATACTTTTTTGAGACTATACATAGAAATATATTTTTACAATTCCTACTATCTACATATTTAATGTTTTATCCTTCTACTTTTTACATAACATTTATATTCATCAAATTGTAAAAAAAAAATAAATCAGTAAAATTAATTTTGATACTAATTATTTAAATAATTGTCCTAAAACGGACAATTATGCTTTTTTTGATTAACTTTTAAAACAATATTTTATACAATTACAACTTCTGTAACATTATTATTTTGCATTGATCTAATAATATATATAAAACTGAGTCTGTTGCATTGAAATTTTCGTAATTTTTCAAGATTAATTTCTTGGAATATTACAAAAAGAGGGCCCTCCCGTTTCCTTAAGAGCTCCACAATATTTTTGTATCTCAAAATGTCTCAAATGTTTACTTATATTCCTGTCTTTTTAATTGAAAAAAATATTAAAATTAATTCTATATAGCAATGACAGATAGTTTGTAAGTAAAATATAGTGATTTTAAATAATTTATATAATTTTTTTATAAAAGGATTACATATATTATACTTGACAACTAGTAATATCTTGTGAATATACATTTCATAAATAACACAAGCGCAGAGAAGTAAATTGCATTAGATGTATCGTTTTCATCTAATATCTCTTCTATCAGAAATCTTTATCTTAACTACGATTTTATTTTAAATATCATAATTATATTTTCTCTCTCTCTCTCTCTCTCTCTTTCTTTCTTTTCAGGAGACGCGGTAGTGTCTCCGGCCATGTTCAAACCCTAAAAGACCTTAAAAAAGACACTACAAGTCTCTTATCCTGCACCATCAAAGTCCATCTTTTGGGGGTGTAGAACTACTAAAATATAAAAAATTTTAAATTGCACGTAATATAACCTGAAAGGCGGCATCGCCAAGAGTAATTTGAGCCAAGAAGAAATAAAATCGGTCAAGCCGTTCTGGAGATACAAGCGGTCAAAAAGTGACGTTTTTTATGAAAAATGAAGTAACGTCGTCTTCTTCTTCTCTGTCCGCGTCCGCTGACGTCATCAGGATTATATATATATATATAATATGTCTTTCACCCTCTTTCACCCTGTTTCGTCTTCTTTCACCCTCTTTCATTCTCTCTCACCCTCTTTCGTCCTCTTTCACTCTCTTTCGTCCTCTCTAACCCTCTTTCATTCTTTCTCACCCTCTTTCACTCTCTTTTGTCCTCTTTCACCCTCTTTCGTCCTCTTTCACCTTCTTAATGATGAATTCCTAATTGCTTACACAAATTGCTTACATTGTATGTATGTATGTACCATCTCACATAATGCATATCTTAAAATATGATGTTAAAATAATGTAGATTAAAATATATTTTTATAATATTGCATATCGATGTTTCTTGTATGCTGCCTGTAAACAATTAAGAATATATATAAACAATGTTGTACTGTACTATTTTGAAAATTAAATCTCACATATGTCAGAGCATTGTGAAATAAGTGAAATATTTGCTAGAAAGAATTGATGGTGTTTCTCTGCAATAGCAATTCTGCAATAACTATCGTGTAACTACCATATGAATAAATGTTTGCAAGCATTATTTCTTGACTGTTTATGAAACTGTTCAGAGAAACCTGAATTATTATATCTTGATTGTTTGCATATTCGATGAATGATAATGGCTATTTAAAAGAAGAATTTCTTTATTTACTTTTGGAGTGTCATAATAATCGTTTTTTGAACATATGGTGTCGTCAAAATAGCTAGGGTATAAATGTACTATACTTAATTTTGTACTGTCGCTGTACTAACCGATCTACACTTAATTGCTTATACATATGTACCAGTGCATTTTACCACAAATCACAAGTAATGTATACATCAGAATGTCAATGTACTCTTATGTATACAATAAAATTTTTATTCTTTTTTGCTGTCGTCAAAATAGTAGACTGACATATATATATATATATATATATATATATATATAACTTGTATTTATCAGAATTGTTAATAGAAATTCTTTCTTGAAAATATATATTGTGATATTCACGATATATATACGCATCGATAACGAATTAATTTCATAATTTTGTTAACATGTCCTGAAAAGAACCATTACACAAATATAAATTTTTGTACTTTTATATTAAATAAAAAATTAATTGTAAAGCTTATAAATTTACTACATCGTTACTAGAGATCCTTTCTTGAAAATATATATTGTGATTCATGATATATATGCATCGATACAACATATTAATTTCGTAAATTTGTTAACATGTCCTGAAAAGAACCATTATACAAATTAATTTATGTATTTTTAAAGTATATTAAATAAGAAATAATATATAAAGCTTAAATTTATTAGAATCTTTATTAGAAATCATTCTTTGAAATATATATATTGTATTTTATATATATATACATTAGTACATATTAATTTCTATATTTTCTTAATATGTCCTGAAAAGAACCAGTATACAAATTAATTTATGTATTTTTAAAGTATATTAAATAGGAATTAATATATAAAGCTTATATTAACTAGAATCTTTATTAGAAATCATTCTTTGAAATATATATATTGTATTTTATATATATATTCATTAGTACATATTAATTTCTATATTTTCTTAATATGTCCTGAAATGTACCATTATACAAATAAATTTATATATATAAACAATATATATTAAAAGGTACATTTGAGGACAGTTCCTTTATATGTCCAAAGACAGTTTTCGGGACGCCCTGAAAACTGCCATTAGATACATAATTTTTTCAGGACAGTCCTGAAAAGCAACAAAAGTCCTGGAAACTGCCATTGTGTCGCACACAATGTCCCGAAAACTACCTCTGCACATATATATATATATATATATATATATATATAACAATGTGTATATATATGTGTATATATATAACAATGTGTATATATAATTATTTTTTATAAAATTACAAGTTATATAAAATGGGACATCCTATTTAAATATCCTATATATATATATATATATATATATATATATATATCCTATATATATATATATATATATATATATCCTATATATATATATATATATATATATGTATATATAGGATATATATTTAAATAGAATGTCCCATTTTATATAACTTGTAATTTTATAAAAAATAATTATATATACACATTGTTACACATCATCTTATACGCATATATTTGCGTATAATGTCGATGATAAGAATATAAATATAAATGTGTTTTTTTTACTTTATTTGAACACAATTTATTGTTCACTTTGACATACATAATATGTATATGTGTTTCTATATTTATATTTATATGATGAAAAGGTACAAGTGTCTGTACAATTTCTTTTAGACACTAAAAAACATGATATAAAATGTACTTCTAATTTAATTTTTTGTTGCTCTCTTATTTACACCTTTTAGTATAAAGCTTTTTCACCACGACAAGGTAGGTGTAAATCGAGAAAGAATTTTTGTTTCATTTTACAGGGAGAAGAGACAAGTGCTGATATTTATAGCAATATTGACATTTATGTATTATTTGCAAAATCGATATATATATAATTTCGATATATACAAAAACATGCACCTCTTTATGTATATATCGTTAGATATAAATACATAAAATTTGTGTTATATTTATTTGAGGCATCTTTTCCTAAAGATTCTTTTTTTAGAATTTTGGAAAAGGCGACAGTTTATTTTCTTCGATAATGTAAAGAAAATGTTGCCTCATATTATCAATACGATTCGAATATGTCATATTACAAGGATTTTCTCCTAAAGCTATAGTTGTAGCGAAAGCTGCAGCATAAATTCCACAACATGTGCCATCAGGTTGTTTTTGAACCTTTTCAAATATAATATCATTTGCACTTATTTGTGGATAACGACGATGAATGTAATTTTTTTCTTTAGGCACCAATTTATTGTATGTACAATCGGGTAGACTGTCATACACTCGAAGCTTGGTGCCGTCAAAAAATATACATCGCCAATGATTACTGCAATTTCCTCCAATAATTTGTAAGCTTTTGTCGCTACGACTTGCTTCAATTAAATGAGAATATTCTAAATATAACACACTTTGTGTTTCAAAAGGACATGTATTTTTTACGACGCGCAAGAATTTGTCCAATGAATCGTCGTTTATTAGACTATCCACAGGTAATACATTTTTCTCTATTTCACTATCAGATATAGGACGATTATCGAGAAAATTTTTTTGTCGTGCCATATCGTTTTCAGTTAGTTCTTTTTTATTTTGTGAGTAACTATTTACAATAGCGCAATCGTCATCTTGTTCCGCACTTATAACAGTAACAGGAGTGACAGTTGCTTTCATAGATAAACTATTATATTCGCAACATTGACTTTCTTTGATAATATTTTTGTTTTCTGTATTACATTGTCGACAACTATTTAATTTTTTTACCCCTTTTTGAGCTTCTATTATATAATCTGGATTTCTAATAGGCATATGTCTATTATGCCGACTATCCAAGATTTCTGGCAGCATGCAATTATAATAGAAATTTGTTAAAAAGGGTAGCATTTTATTACTCCAAAAATCATTATCCTTTATAACACGTATTATTTTTAAGCTTTTTGGCGTCCACATAGTAAAAACACAATATTCTCGCCGCGTTATATTTAACTGGCCTTGAATTTGATAGAAATATTTATGATTTTTATTCATTTGTTCTGAATTTTTCTTATCAAAGATGTTCTTTAGTGGAGTCATCTTTATAGCTTCTTCAGCTGTTAAGTTCTTAGCTGAGTGCGGACATTTTATTTCTACCAGACCGTCTTCATCTATAAGTCCATCTGGAGAAGCACCCAAGTATGGATGTTCAATATCAATGAATAATCCACAAGGTTTAATCTCTTTTTTTTAGTATTTCGACTAATTCTTTTCTCGCAATTGGTTCTTTTTCGCGACCATATTTTATTGCCTCGGTTTCAATAGCAGAAGGATATAAAATATTTTTCACAGGCAATGCGCAAGACGTTTTCATTCTTTTACAACATACGGTTCCAAAATTAGATGCCGTTAACATTTTACGTCTCAATTGTAGCCATTGTTGTGATTCATTTTGTTTTGTAGTGTCGCGTTCAATTTTTTGCCAATTTTTTGCATTTTCGGACAATTTTTTAAAATGATTTTGTCGAAATTGCTCGATTACATCGGACGGTAGATCCGGTTTTTGCGAGTGTGGACCATAATAAGAGTCTGTTCCCGATTTTTGTTTGAATTTTTTTGATCTTCCTTCTATTTGTCGATACTCTTTATTTTTTTCTAATTTTTTTCTTCGGCGCTTCTCCAACTTCTCGACAATAGGCGGAACAGTCTTATTCATGCTTTTATGTACTTCTGTAATTACTTGTTGCGTATTAAATTGCAAAACTGCCCCCGCAACTCTAGCATTGTAACCACCTTTTTTATTAACAAGAATACGTTTGCCGCCAATTTGTGCGCAGATCGACGAATTAAATGACTCTGTAATGTTATTCGTATAATTTAACAATAAGCTGTCAGAGTAACCACTTATATACTCGACAGCTTCTTCTATTTCTAAATAGAGACCATGTGATTTTAAAGAATCTATATAATTTTCTTCTCCATCGCAAGTCTCTTTGCCACGTTCTTTGCATTGCTTGTGATCGCCAAAAACATGCCTAGGAATGTTTAAAATATCTGTTTGTAATTCCATAGCCTGACGATGTTGAGGTTGCCGTTCTTGTCTTCGTAGAGCGGCTGCCTCAGTTATTTCCTTTCGTATTTCTAAAATTTTGTTTTTTATTACATTTCGCACTTGTATTAAGCCAGGCCGTCTGGATGTTTTTGGCCGAGTTTTCTCTGCTACAGTTTTAATTTTTTTACATAAATTACGTAGCAGATGATTCGTGCATTCTATTTTGGTAACTGTTATCATATGTTCTCCGTATGGATTATTATTTTTAATACTTTGGTATACGCTACTGTCACCGTCAGCAACAAGCGTTTTAAAAATTAGACCATGCATTTCGAGGCTACAATTAAAACCTTCTGCAATGGCATCGCTCTCCATTTTTGTGGAGCTTACGTTGCGATCAAAATTTTTATAGCAATTGTGAGTTTTCGGCTCGATACCTCTTCGCTCTGCCATATCGCATATTATGCAATATTTATTTTTAACACCGACGTAGAGAACCTTTCTCGTGCGGTAACCAATTATGGCTCCAATACCGGCAGGAGAGTCGTACGTGGTACCATACGATCTTTTCATCCAACTACCATCCGCTACAACTGTTATATACGGAATACCGTTTATAACTTCGTTGTTATCAAGAGCGATTTTTTTTTCAATTTCACCAGCCGTTTTCATATTTTCTATAGATGTGTTTACAAACTCGTCGACTAATTTGTCTCTACTCTTGATGTACATTGGCTCGGACATGCTAGGAACATTCATGACTGCAAGCTGCTTTTCCAGCTGGGCATAACCAGTTCCCACAGTAAGTGTTCCTGCTACAGCAGCCGTATTAATGTCCATTATTTCCGGTTTTGTGGGTTCTGACCAAATGCTGGCTTTTGTTTTGCACATTTTACATTGGAAGAACAGCTGGGTTTTCAACCCACATTTTTCAGACTTTATAAGTAACAAATTTTCAATTGACGAGCAGTCCAGTGCTTTATTATGTCTGTCAAAGATTCTGTGCAGCTCAGTCCATATAAAAGAGAAGTCCATAATGCGACGGCCTGCAGGCAAATTTTCTTTGATATCATCTTTATCAATAGAGCTCTTTTTAATTTTTTCTATAACATAATATTTGTCATCTTCGACACCATTTTCTACATTGCATATATCTGTATTTGACTCTAGACATCGCATTACTTGAATATTAGAATCCATTGTATCGGTAAATGATTCTACCGATTTTTCAAAATCAATGGATTTATCATAATGCATGCTTTTGGAGTCATTGGAATCATCAATATACATGCTTTCGAAACATTTATCTATGCCAAGTTTAACATTTTGCTTTACAGAATACATAGCTGTATTTGACTTCTGATACAGCATTGATTGGATTTTCGAATCCGTCGTATCGGGAAATAATTCTTCCGATTCGACGGATTCGCTAGTATCCTCAACGCTTCTCGAGTCAATTAACTTTTCGTTATCGTCGAAAAGACGAATATCTTGTTCGACATACATGCATGTATTTGACTCGAGACACTGCATTGTTTTGATATTTGAATACGTCATATCGGGAAATAATTCATCCGATGTTTTAAAGTCGACGGATTCCATACTAACATCTTCAATGCTTCTCGAGTCTAATTTATTAGCTAATCGAACATCTTGTTCGACATTATACATACCTGTATCACTTACAATTTGACACATCTCCGACAAGTTTTTTACGTCTTGCTTTGTCTTCTCACTGATAAGTAACTGTCGCCTGCAAGAAAACATTTATTGATAAGTATTTTGTTAAATATTATTATAAAAATTATAAAAAATATTTATAAATATTTTTGAAAACAAAATCTTTTAAAAATAAATCTTTATTTTAATTAAAAATAAATGTGAGACGACCCAACTGGCTTAAATTAATTCTTATTATTATTAGTTTGATGCCATGTACAAGAAAAGACAACGTTTCGACCTTAGGTTTAGGTCCTTATCAAGTCTAAAATTAATATTAAAAAATACAATAGATGTACATACAAGAATTTTGATTTTTAAGAAAGTAAAGCGCAAACCAAGATTATAATAACAATTTAAACGTACCTTACAAATTCTTTAGTGCAATATATAATTAATTTTTTTCATTTTACATATTTCAATATAAATACTGTGTCACGTAAACGTTCAGTATGGATGGTAAAGACGAACTAAATTAAACAGCTTTGATTATTCTATCATAGATCGGATTCAAATTCTCTGTGTCTTTCTGTAGGTTGATCGTGTTATTAAATTTTTTTATAAAAAACATTTCAGCAATCTCTCTTTTCCTAGTGTTTGTTTCTCGATGTAAAATATTTAAGTTTGTCCATTTAAAGTCATGCGAAAAATCATTTCTATGTTTGCTTATAACATTTTGATTGCTGACATGCATTTTTATATTATTCATATGTTCTTTAATCCGAGTATTAAGGTGTCTTTTAGTTTGTCCGATGTATGTGGCGTCACAGTCATTGCAGTCAACTTTATAAACTATCTCGGTCATATCGGCTTTAGGTAATTTGTCTTTTCGGGGTTTAATATAAAAATGCATGTCAGCAATCAAAATGTTATAAGCAAACATAGAAATGATTTTTCGCATGACTTTAAATGGACAAACTTAAATATTTTACATCGAGAAACAAACACTAGGAAAGAGAGATTGCTGAAATGTTTTTTATAAAAAAATTTAATAACACGATCAACCTACAGAAAGACACAGAGAATTTGAATCCGATCTATGATAGAATAATCAAAGCTGTTTAATTTAGTTCGTCTTTACCATCCATACTGAACGTTTACGTGACACAGTATTTATATTGAAATATGTAAAATGAAAAAATTAATTATATATTGCACTAAAGAATTTGTAAGGTACGTTTAAATTGTTATTATAATCTTGGTTTGCGCTTTACTTTCTTAAAAATCAAAATTCTTGTATGTACATCTATTGTATTTTTTAATGTTAATTTTAGACTTGATAAGGACCTAAACCTAAGGTCGAAACGTTGTCTTTTCTTGTACATGGCATCAAACTAATAATAATAAGAATTAATTTAAGCCAGTTGGGTCGTCTCACATTTATTTTTAATTTTATTCATCACTGGCGATACAAGATATCTACTATTAACTTTATTTTAATGTACAATTAAAAATAAATTATTAATTATAAAATTATGTATTACTGAAAAAATAGATAGCTAACAATATAAATACTACTACTGTAGCGCACATGCAAACCACATCTAATGTAAAATTGTAATTGTAATTGTGTAATATTTTTTTTAATTATCAGCACACGAATAGATCGCCTCTGGATTTAATATAACCAGCACACGAATAGACCGCCTCTGGATTTTATATAATCCAGCCCACGAAAAGATCGCCTCTGGATCAAATTTTGTATAACCAGAACACACATGCAAATCGTTTCTAATCTAGAAAGTTACCAGCACACGAATAGATCGCCTCTGGATTTAATATAACCAGCACACGAATTGATCGCCTCTGGATTTAATATAACCAGCACACGAATTGATCGCCTCTGGATTTAATATAACCAGCACACGAATTGATCGCCTCTGGATTTAATATAACCAGCACACGAATAGACCGCCTCTGGATTTTATATAACCAGCCCACGAAAAGATCGCCTCTGGTGCTAACAACTGTAATAATAAAAGTATAATACTCTTTATATTACTACTACTACTACTACTACTACTACTACTACTACTACTACACTACTACCACCACTACCACCACTACCACCACTACCACTACCACCACTACCACCACTACCACCACTACCACCACTACCACCACTACCACCACTACCACCACTACCACCACTACCACCACTACTCTGTAAATTTAGTATATATATTGTATAAAGTAATTTATTTTCAAAGATTTTGTTTTCAAGATAGATAACAAAATAAAAATAAACAGATTTTTTTATTTATACTTTTACGGTATTATTATATTATTTTTTTCTTGGTAATAACTAATTTCTTTACAAGTATTAAAATAAAAATATTTTGTAGTATATCCTTCTCAATATAACAAAATAGCAATATTTACAATATTAAAAATAGGCTTTTAGCAACATTTTAAATTGTCTCAGAATTCACTCATGGATATAACATTTCAAGAACAAGTTGTCAATTACTCTGTATCTAAAAATTATACAAAAAGTATTTTTTATACTTTGGTAAAAAAATTAGTACAGTTCGTACTAGTAAAGTATATAAAAATTAAAAATATGAAAAAATTTTTTTAAATAAAATTTATTATTTTATTATTTTTTATTTATTTTTATTTGAAATAAAAATGTTTAAAAAATGTAAGTAAAAAACAATTTAAATATAATTTCTAATAATAATTTATAATAATTTTTAAAATTAATTTAACAAATTTGTAATTAAAAAATGTTAACAAATAATATATAAAATATTATTTAATTGTTATTATATATAAAATTATTGTAAAACAGAACAAAAAAATTTCCACAATTTTTATACAGCGTATCTCAAAATATCAAAACTTTGGGTGTGTAAAGAAAATGGAGAAAATATTATATTTCAGATTTACTCATTTATGCTGTGTTGTAGAAAATCACCAAAAAAATATTAGTTTATTCAACATTTGAATGTACGCGATATATTGTCACCAGTCTAATGAATTCACATGTACATTTTTGAAGAGTAATAACTGTAATATAATTTGTAAGAAAACAACAGAGATGTAAATATAAACAAATAAAAGTAAGCAGGTTACTATCTTGCATTTATTTATAATTTTATAATTTTATTTTAGGAAACTTTCTTTTTTTCTATAACGTATTTTATTTAATAATAATGCAAACAAAAAATATGGTACAGAAATTTAAAGCAGTAATAAAATATATCAAAAAATATCATAAAATAAACATTGCAAAATATAAAATTAGAGCAAATTAAAAATCTTTGAAGTAAAATAAGATAGAGCCGTGATAACAAAATTATTGTATGGTTTTTTTTGTTTGCGTTTATTTTATTCTCTTTTTATTTAAAATTAGTCTGTTACTCATTAGAAGTGTACAAGTAAATTAATAATACATGTAACAATATGTACATATTTGAATGAATTTACCAACATGGCTTTATTTTCTTTAAAATAAAGCAAAAATGAGCAAAGTTCATAGCTGGGTAAGCATGCTATTATAAAAGTGTCCCCAACGAGTTTCGTAATGACATTTGGCCTGTCTTTTTCTAACTGTAAAAAACACAATTTTTCCAAAAGTTTTGCTCCCTAACTCTATAATTTCCTGAGAGAAGGTTATTTTTATTTTAATTCTTTTTTCTATCGCAAATATTTTACATCATCACATAAATTTTTTGCAGAATCAACCAAAGACACTAAAAAAATTTTTTTTGGTTTCTCGAATAAAAACTCGATAAATTTAAATAAAATAAAGAAATGGCCTTTTCAGAATGTTTCTTTCGAGGTTCAATAACCAAACTTTTACAGAATATTCTTTTTTTTATGTCTGAATACTTTCAAAGTTTTCAATTTTTTTCAAGTTGTTGGAATATCTTAAAAAAAATAAAAACTATTTTTTAGCATTATATTCAAAAATTTAAAAGAGCTAATTTCTTCTCATATAGAAATTTACTTTTCGATTACATCTTTGTAAAAGTTGCTGTAATTTTTGTATAAACATAATTTTATATTTTTTATGTATGATCAAAACTATAATTGTTATAAGAAAAATAAATAATGTTTGGAAATAATGCAAAAAAAGTAATTTTTATTTTTTTTTAAATGATGCACCAACTCGAAAAATTTGAAACAATTTGAGAGTATTGAGACAAAGACAAAATATTCTGTAAAAGTTTTGTGATTGAACCTCGAAAGGAACGTACTGAAAAGGCCATTTCTTTATTTTATTTAAAATTTTTAATTGAGTTTTATTCGAGAATAAAAAAAATTTTTTTGGTGTCTTTGGTTTATTAGAATTTAGCAAAAAATTGATGTGTGATAATGTAAAATATTTGCGATAGAGAAAAGAAATAAAAATAACCTTTTCTCTGGACATTATAGAGTTAGGGAGCAAAACTAGGAAAAATTGTTTTTTATAGTTAGAAAATGACAGGCCAAATGTCATTTATAAACTAGTTGGGGGCACTATGCTTGCCCGGCTATATCTTTTGCAACAATTATAAAATTTTTTTTTATTCTTTATGCACTCAAAGCTTGGAATACGTTGGGATACTCTGTTTGGGTTCGGCAAAGTAAATCTAAGACGTTGCAGACGTCTCTTTCTTTACTCTATTTTTGTTCTATTACAATACACTGATTGGAAAATTTCAGGCCACAGTATTTTTAAGTGTAATTCTACTTTTAGTCTATTTATCTATAATTATATATAATTATATTGTAAGTTTAATTTATTTTCATTAAAATTTAAAAAACTGTAAGGTACAATATAATTGGGTTATAAAATTATGATACGCCTTGTTTTACGAATTTAGTTTAAAATATTTTTTTCAAAATCGCATTATTCATGAAATATTCCACCTTTTTTGGACTTCTGGTCACTCTGTATAAATCTAATGTAAGAAAAAAATTATTAAAAATATTTTTTTTTTTTAAAGTATTTTTTACATCACTAATAAATTTATATATAATAAATAACAGAATAAGTCAAAAGAGCATCCAGACGTTTCAGATTGCTTCGCCGAACCCAAGTTCTATACAGAATGTCTGAAAATTCGCGGAACACTCGAGAAGGTAGAGAATGATACAGAACTTTTCTGTTCAGATAACACTCTCTACCTTCCCAGGGTGTTCTGCGAATTTTCGGACACCTAAATTTAAAATGGTGTTACTAACCTTTTCATCCATCCTTTCTTTCGCGACATCCTGCGGCGAGTGAGAGGCAAATGTGTTTTGTCGTATTTTCTTCCCATCACTTTTATAATATATTCTTCTTTTACTTGTATACACTCTTCTAAACACTTCTATACACTTACTACTATAAACACTATACAGCTTTCACTACACGTATATACACAGTCTGTCTAGACTCAACGTGTGTAAGTCAGCTGTTATCTCGCGCTATTACTGCAAGCCGCGTACAGATAGCAGTACACAATGCGCGCAAGTGTAGGTATGTACCAGCCCGGTCATACGCGCAATAGACGTTTTTGGCGCGTAAGCAAAATAACTTATTTTATTTTTCGTATATATGTAGATCTGTTTATATATTCACGACGAAAAAGACATTGATTTGTAAGAAATGTTTATACGTAAACTCGCTATTAGACATAATTATTTATACATATAATTATCATATGTATTTTTATTTGATTCACGTTTTTTTTAAACCGTTTGTATATACATAAAGTGATTAGTGGTATTTAATTTTAGCTAAATACTTATCACATAGATATAATAATATTGTCAAAGGTGAACTAAATATTTAGAAGAACGTTTTGAATTACAACACATTTATACCTAAAAAACTGCAAACTGTATGTACATGTATATTTGTCTATAAGTAAACATCTTTTTTATGATGAATATCCCTTTCCAAAAAGTGCATGTTATGTATTCTCGCAATATCTCGAATGTATTGTTGCCTTTTTATCGTGATGCCGATTGGTTGTTGGTTGTCGAGCATTTCGTGCGCTATGACTTGATTCACTCGTATCCTCGTATGTTGGTTATACGATATGACTGTCAAACTGTCATACTGATAAACTGTCATACTGATAATTAATATGAAAGAAATTAAATAACACAAGCGCGCGCTGAACAATTCTATTACAATTTTCTATTGTAACAAAGGTAAGGTAATTGTAGCAATGCAAGTATAATTAAATATAATATAATATAATATAAATATAATATAGTAACCTATTTATAATATAGTAACCTATTTAAATTATAATAATTTTTTAAATTAATATTCATATAAAAATATATATTAATATATATATATATATATATATATATATATATATATTAATATTAATTTAATTTCTTACCATTGTAACGATCATGTGTTATAAATTATATTGTATATAATAGAAAGAAAGAAAGTGACGGAGATTAATCGAGAGAAATAGAGAAAGGAAAAAGGACCATAGAAAAGAAAAAGAAAGAGAAAGAAGAGAAAAGAGGATTCGTAAAAAATAAAGAAAGATAAAAACAGAAGGAAGGAAGAAGGAAATATACAATATTAGGTAAATAAATTTATTTTATAAATTTAATAAGTGTATATATATATAAATATAATATATATATATATATATATATATATATATATATACATATATTTATATAGGGCATATCACACATAAATCAATCACTTTTTTATTTGCTTTATTTTTTTTATGTTTTTGCATTTATTGAAAGTTGTTTCCATGATTTGAAAATATTTAGACATTCTTGAATAGTAGTATTTTGCAATTTCATACCACCGTAACGATCATATCAATTTTAATCTAATTTATTTTTTTCCCTCAATGAGATCCCTTCGATTATTTTCTAAAAAATTGATAACATTTGCGACTTAAATACAAAATTTTTGAGCCATAAACAAAGAGGGGATTCAAATAATTTCAACTTTTTAACACCATTTTTTGAAATTTTTTTTTCGACAATTACATTCCTTAATTTTTTATATTACTCCAATAAAACAGAAAAAGTTTACAAAGATAATAATTATATAGTTTAAAATGTTAGTAGTCGAAAAATAATTTTAATATTATTTATAACTATTTTTTTGCTATTTTGCTCGAAATAATGTTTGTTAATTTATTAGACGACTCGTATCGAAAGAAAAACTTTGCAAATAAAAGACTTTAATTAAATATAATACATTTTATTAAAAATTATAACAAAGAAAAAGAAAATAATTAAAAAATAAATTATTTTAATAAATTATTTAAATTATTAAAAAATAAATGTTATGTTATAATTTTTAATAAAATAAGAGCCAAATCGCGGATGATAGTGCATTTATTTCCTTAGGGGGGAACAGAGGATGTATTGAATTAAATCTCTTGTAGAGATTATTCCAATTTTAAATCTTGGCCGTGACCAAGTAAAATTTGGTGCTTTGTGCACAAGTATTTAATTCTAACGAAAAAATTTAGTTTCGTTGGGATAACGTACTGTCATCCGCGATTTGACTCTTATTGCCTGTCTTACACTTTAAATTTATGTTTTATTTAATTAATGTCTTTTATTTGCAAAGTTTTTTTTTCGATACCAGTCGTCTAAGAAATTAATAAACATTATTTTTTAGCAAAATAGCAAAAAAATAGTTTTAAATAATATTAGAATTTTTTCTCGATTATTAATACTTTAAAATAAGTAATTATTATCTTTGTAAACTCTTTCTTTTTTATTTTAGTAATGTAAAAAATTAAAGAATGTGATTTTAGGAAAAAAATTGCAAAAAATGGTGTTAAAAAATCAAAGTTATTTAAATCCCCTTTTTACTTATGACTTAAAAATTTTGTATTTAAGTCTTAAATGTTATCAATTTAAAAAAAAAATCGAAAGGATCTCATTAAGGGAAAAAAAATAATAAAATTGTTTTGAAATACATAATTCAAGTATGAATAGAAAAAAAAATCTAAAAAAAAATCATGGAAATTAATTTTGGAAACTACTTTTAATAAGTGCAAAAATATTTAAAAAATGAAGCAAATAAAAAATGTTTATGGAAAAAAGTGGTCTATTTGTGTGGTATGGAATGCCCCATATACATATATATACATATATATACATATATATATATATATATATATGTATATATGTTAATTTATAGTTTATAAATTATATATATAACAGAGAAAGAAAAAAGTGACGGAGAATAATTAAAAGAAAGAGAGAAAGGAAAAAGAAGATTAGTGTATATGAAAACTTTCTAGGTAAACTATAATTTAATGAAAAATAATGTTTCATTTAAAAAATTGAAAGTAATTTTTATATAATCTTTAAATGAATTAATCACATTGTCTTACGTCCCCCTCAAAGATAAAACTTATACAAAATATTTTTTCTTAAAATGTTTTATTTTTAAGATAAGCAATTGCATTTTTAAAAATAATAGATCTAAAATAATAACCTGTATATATAAAATTAATATGTATAATATGTAAACGTTTTTATTTACAGTTAAAACGAACGAAATATAAGAAAAATATAAGAAAGAGAAGGAAAGAAAAATAGAGAAGAAGAAAGAAAACAAAGAATATATAAATAAAAAGGAACTAAAAGAAAAATAAAAAAATATTATAATTATAATTAATAAATATTATTAATAATATTATACCTATATATATATTTTTAGTATAAATTATTTCATGATTTACTGTTATTTAATAGTTACTTAATAGTTTAATATATGTTATTTAATTAATTATTTAACATGTTATTTAATATTATTTAACTTAACTTAATTTAATTTAATTTATTTATTAATAATTTAATTTAATTTAATTTATTTATTAATTAATTTAATTTAATTTAATTTAATTTGATTAATTAATTTTAATTTAATTTAATTTAATTTGATTAATTTATTTTTATTTAATTTAACTTAAAACATATAAACTAATTAATATTTATTAATTAATATCGCCTATTAATATATAATTATATTATAATATAATATATTTATACTGTACATTAATATAAATTTGTATTTATAATTATTTATAAATAAATAATGATGACAATGATGACAATGATGATAATGATGACAATGATATGATAATGATTATAATGATAATGATGATGATGATTATGATTATGATGATAATAATGATGACAATAATGATGATAATGATAATCTTGATTATAATATTGATTTTAATTTTTGTATAAAAACTTTAAAGTTCACAAATTAATATTTAATAATTTAAAAGATTGAATTTTAATAGCTTATTCAAATTTTAATAATCAATCTATAATATTATTTTAATATATTTAATATATTTAATAAATTTTTGTTTATTTTTGCATTAAAAATTTCAAAAATTAAACTTTTTTAAATACCTAACTTATAAATTTTATTATTAATTTCTCTTTAATTATTATTAAATATTTAAGTAAATGTATTTTCTTATTTTAATTAGCATATAATATATTAATCTGTGTGTTCGGTATATATATATATTTATATTTTTAAACTTTATAAAATAATTAAATTTTAATAAGTTTACGATCAATTTATAAATTAATAATTTTGTTTAAATTTCAATAATATATATACTTTTCACGGAAAACATACGTGTATATATATATATATATATATATATATATATATTTATATATTATTACTAGTTTAGAAGAAGAAGAGGAGTTACAACAACGTTCTAAAAAAAAAAGCAGAAAATCAATATCGTCGTAATCAAATTATAAAAGCATTAAATAATGTAACAAAATCAGTTAATCGTAATATTTGTGTTGCTGGTACATCACGTGATAATCATATAATAATAGATTTAGATGAAGAACAAAGTTTTAAAAATCTTAAATCAGTGTGTCAACAATCTTTTGCAGAACGTCAATCTTATTATCGATCACGGCAAAAAAATCAACCTTGTTTAAATAATGATGATATAATATTAATTAATAATATTGTTATATTGGTTCTATGGATGTATCTTGTATTCATTGCAATGCAAAACATTTTGCGTCTGAAAAAATATCTAATAGAGGAAGCTCCTTTCATGACTGTTGTAATCATGGTGCAGTATATTTACAACCATTACCTGAATTTCCACAATTAATTCGTGATTTATTTGATGGGACTCATGTAAAATCTAATGATTTTTTTCAACATATTCGTAGTTATAATAGTTCATTTTCGTTTGCATCATTTAACGCTAATTTAAAGAATTTTCAAAATAGACGACCTGGTCCATATTGTTTCAAGATACAGGGACAGATATATTATCAAGTTAATACAACATTATACGCTGCACAAAATGAAAGTCCTACTTATGGTCAACTTTTTATTGTGGATGCAAATGAAGCAATAGAGCATCGTCTTAATAAAAATTCATATTTAGATTTTAAAATTTTACAAAATCTTGAATATATAATGCGAGAAATTAATGTATTTTCTCAGTCTTATCAAATGATGGGTGAGGAATTAGAAAATCAACGACGTTTAGAAATGGAATCTGGTAAATTGTTACCGG